GGGAAAAGGAGACATATGTAATTCCTCAACCATAAGTAAATTTTTAAAAATGATGAGGTAGCAGCGAATCTCCTCACCAAGGAAGCGGGGGTTGGGTGCTTCCCAGCAGAGGGCCCTGCACAGCCAGGACCCGGGAAAACCGGGCAGGAGCGGCCCCGGAGGCGGAGAACACAGGCGGCTCTGTCCTCACCTCGATGAAAGGCCCTGCGATCTTGGGCGCGATGGTCTCCGTGACGGTCGGCTCCTGGGGAAGGACCACAAACTCCTCGGCCGTCACGAGGAAGACCGGCTCCTCCACGGGAACGCTCACCTCAAACAGCTCCTGGGATGGTGCGCTGAGCACAGACACGCACGTTACCCCCGCGAGAGGCTGGCTCCCGCCCCCCGAGCACGGGCGTGCTGCCGGGGAACCGCAGAGCACGCCTCACTGGAGTCCCCAGAGCCACGCACCCCTGTGCCACGTGGAAGCCTTTCTGTGGCCCCACGAACAGGGTACCTGCGTCAGGAACGCCATGGAGTAGTCGTTTCCCTGAGCAGCCACTTCTCGGATCAGATCCTTGGTTCCATTCTTCAAAAGTTTCTCTTCAATGGAATTGGCACTCACAAGCCTACAAACAAACAAGACCCACACAGAGGCAGCTCAGTCCTGAAGCACGCGCCCCATGAGCGGCCGGCACAGAGGCCACCTGAAGAGCACGCCGCAGGCTTCGGAAGCGCACGCATCAGCGCTCCACGGGCTCCGTGCGACCTGCCCTCACGTGGCGGTCAAAGGCCTCAGGCCCCACTGTGACCCCCATCTCAGTCCGGCCACGCCCCCACCCGCCAGCCTCCACCGGGAGCCGCCCCGTTCCGACGTGTGGTGAGTGCCTGTCTTCAGTGCAACAACCCAGAAGGCGAGGCAGCCTGCGCTCTGTCCGGGGCCAGCACCGGGACCATGGGCCGGAAGTGGCAGGATTTCGCACCAAGTGGCACAGCAAGTGCTTAGCGCACACGGCACGAACAGCACAGAACGCAGACGGAGCAGAGTTCCCCACTTCCTCATCGCACCGGTTTGTCAGGGAGAGGGAAGTTCTCTGAACATCCGATTCGCCCAGACAACACACACTTGGTGACAGCGGAAACACCCTGAGGCCTCCCTCCTCCGAAGGTGCCGGCTCCGGAAGAGGCACAACACACAGGGAGTCAGCAAGCTCCGTGCGCAACGTCGGTCACCACGCCACGCGGTCACCACGCCACGCACACACTCCACCCCACCAGGCGCCATTCCCGCTGCCCGAGGGAGAGAGGACGCGCAGGAGCTGCTCCGTGACCTGCAGGCACCCGCCGCGCTCCCGCCCCGGCCTCACCTGTACACATGCACGTCCTTGCGCCTCCCGATCCTGTCGCACCAGTTCTGGGCCTGGGCGTCCAGCACCGGGTTCAGGTCGTGGTCGTAGAACACCACGGCGTCGGGCTCCACCAGGCTCACCCCTGACGAGCGGCTGCGCGTGGAGAGGATGACACAGAAGATGCGCCTGTCTCTGTTGAAGCTCTTCACCAGCTCCTGCGACGGAACAAACCTCTCAGGACTCCGGCACAGGGGAACGCTGCTGCCCTCTCTCCACCGGACTCTGGCCTTTGGTTCTGGCTCTTTGCACACGTGCGTCCTGGCTCACCAGCCTCCACACACGGTTTAGATCGCACAGGTCGTCACAGGAGACCGCCAGGCTCCAGGCGACAAGTGCTGTCAGCGCAATCAGTAGGCCCCACAGGAGAACGGAGCCTTCCTGGGGAGGGATGTGCGCTTTTTCGTGTGCCCCCAGGCAATGCCAGGGCACCTTACAGCAAAGGCCCCTGGAGTAAGGCTGAGGGAGTGGGAACAGCCTGAGAGGCGCCTCCACCACGCGGGCCGGCACCGGACGGCTTCCCTGGACACAGCTCCTCTGCAGTCAGTGCAGCGCCAGATCAGACCACAGCCGGCAACAACCCTCCTCCTTCGGGAAAGCCCAGCCCAGCCGGCACGGCTCAGGGGCTGAGTGTCCACCAGGAACCAAGCGATCACTGGCTCCATCCCGGTCAGGGCACATGCCCAGCTTGCAGGCTCGATCCCCAGGATGGGAGGGTGGGAGGCAGCCGGTCCATGATGTTTCTCTCATCGATGTTTCTATCTCTCTCTCTCCCTTCCTTTCTCTAAAAACCAATAAAAATATATATTTTTTAAAAAGGGATTCTCCATACAATGAGTTGCTCCACTACCAAGGAAACTTGTCAGTGAGCAATGGCCTCCTCGCAGGCCCGCTCCAGGTGTGCAGCACGAGGGGCTGATGCTACAGAACATGACGCGGCAGCGGACGCACGGGCCAGCAGCTGCCTCTGCTCTCGGGAACATCGGCGCACGCTGACCTGCTCCCAGGGCCTGGGGACGGCTCGGGACGCGGCAGCCCGGGAAGGGGGGGTTTAAGCACTTCTACAGGAAACAGCTGCGCACTCCAGCCGTCAGGAGGGGGTGCTGGGAGGGAGCGACCACGTCGAGGGTCACACGCACCGTGACTGGCCGGGAAGCTGCAGCACTCACGCCCAGCAGCACTGCTCTGACAAGTGACCATGGCAGGTGGCTGCCCAGGCACTTCTTTAAGGTAAAGCTGTCGGGCGGTTTCCTGTTCCCACCAGGGCTGCCTCCTGAAGGACACAGTCCTGTCCTGCAGGGAGCACACGTCACAGACCTGACTGCGGCACTGGGACGCCGGTGTGAGTCCCGAGTGGAAAAGTATCGCGAGATGGGGCTGAAAGACTCTCGAGTTCCAAGACCCGGAGATGTGGCGCCTCCCTCTGAAGGGGGGCAGCACCGAATGTGCACAGCCCTGAGCGTCCGCCTGACCTGCTGCTGCTCGTTGTTGGCGTTCTCGTCGATGCGGATGTAGGTGACGAAGTGGAAGTTCAGGAACATCTCCAAGATGTCCAGCATGAGGACCATCTGTGACATGATCAGCACCCGGCGTCGTTCTAATCTCAGCTTCTTCAGCAGCATCGCCAGGGCCTCCAGCTTTCCTACGGGGGAGCAACACTGAGTGTCCGCCCCCAGAGCACGGGTGCGACGCGTGAGCGTGCCCTCTCCTACCTGAGTCCAGCTGGACCAGCCTCAGCTCGGGGAACTGCAGCGAGCGCGGGGCGGTCACCCGCTGCAGCTGCCGGGCGTAGGGCGCCGTGTGCTCCTGCAGGCGGTGCCTGAAGATCCTCATCCTGTGGCTGTAGAGGGAGGGCGGCCGCGGCACCCACAAGGACGGGGGTGAGGCCACCACTGGCGGGATCACACAGGCCACCCTGAGGAGCAGGAAGCACGTCATCACAGGCAGCACTTGGCATCTCCACCAGCCAGCAGCTCTGACCTCGGTCACCATGGAGACAAGCCTGCTGCCCACACTGTCCCAGCAACCATGGGCACAGGCCCGACAGCCTGGCCGATGAGTGCCACCCAGGGAGAAACAGCAGGGTAGGGCCCCCCAGGCCCCCATCACGGACACACTCAGCCCATCCCCTGCGAAGGGCAAGTCTTCTGATGGGAACTTTGGGACACGGGGCTCTGTCTCCCGGACTGGGGTTGGGGTGGGGGGAAAAGAAT